CCCAGTGGCTGCCCAGGGATCCTATCCTGGACAGAGTCCGAGGAGGGCCTGTCCCTCTGGCAGTGCCTGGGCCGCAGGGATCTGTTGCCCCGCCCAGGACGGGTGCACCCGGAGCCCCGGCTCCAGCTTGCGTGGGTCTGGGTCCTGGGTGCCGGGGGTGGCGTCTGCCCAGAGCCCCCAGGTGAGGCTGTGCCCGTCTGTCCCCAGGTGCTGGGATGGTGGTGGACTGGGAGCAGGAGACCGGCCTCCTTGTGAGCTCGGGGGATGTGCGGATCGTGCGGATCTGGGACACGGACCGTGAGATGAAAGTGCAGGTAACCGCTCGGGGTCCCCGCCTCCTCCCGCCCATGCCCTCCTCGCGGAAAACCCACCATGAGGTCACTGAGCAGCTGTGACATGTCAGTGACCGGTGGGGGGAGGGCCCAGGGGGCCTGGACACTGGGAGCCTTCAGACCCGCTGGCATCTGGATCGGGTCACGTGGCGGCGCCCTGCCCAGCATGACAGCCGGCCGACCCTGCTCATCCCAGATGCTGATCACCGCGCAGCCAGGGACTAATGACTGGGTTGTGTGCTCCCTAAAGTCCCTTTTACTTTCCCTTTTAACAAAGAGACCGGAGTACAGGGGATTGCCTGGCCCTTGGGGCAGGTGCCGGCCCAGACCCTGGGGCTGGAGGCTCTGCCCCTCCCTGCGCCACCCTTTCCCTCTGCTTCTCCTGCACTTACAGCGGCCAGGACAGGAGAGGGCTGGGAGCTCCCCTAGGGCCTAGGCCCTCCCTGACAGCAGGCGTTCCAGCAGAGCTAATGCTCCGACTGCCCAAGGGCTCGTCTTTCTTTCCAGGAAAGAGGGAGGCGTGGGGAAGTTTAATTGGCTCAGTTACCAGCCTCTTTGCTGGCTACGGCCCAGGGATCAGGTCTCAGCGTGGCTCCTGGCTGGGCCCTGGTGCAGCCTGTCATTGGGGCCGCAGTGGCCTGACTCACTTCCCAGCGGCCCTGCAGGTCCCCTGGGCTCCGCGGGCTCCGTCGCTTCCCCGGTGGAGCAGGCGCAGTCCCTGGCCTGGCGGCAGGCACTCCCAGCGGCTGCGGGGCTCACCGGTCTCTGTGCTCGGCCCTAGGACATCCCCACGGGCGCTGACAGCTGTGTGACCAGCCTGTCCTGCGACTCCCAGCGGTCCCTCATCGTGGCCGGCCTAGGGGACGGCTCCGTCCGCGTCTACGACCGGAGGATGGCCCTCAGCGAATGGTAATGTGGCTGCGCCCGACCCACCCGGTGCCCCTGGGGCCCGTGGTCACATCTCTGCCAGGCTGCTGGGCCCAGACGAAGTGAGCCCAGGGCCTAGGGCCCTGCAGAGGCCTCACACCCTGTGAGCGTGGACAGGCCACGGAGGTGGGGCCGGGTCTAGGTGCTGCCTCCCGAGCTCAGTTCCCCAGGGAGGCTGCTGCCCACCCCTCTGTGTCGCACGTGAGCAGCTGTGGCGTTGGGACCATGTGCATGGGCGCTGGTGGGGCAGGCGATGGGCCGGTGAGGGCACCTGTATGGGTGCTGAGGAGCTGGTGTCCGCTGTCCGCCACCGGCCCAAGGCCGGGGCTGCTAGGTGACAGCGCACATTGCACCCTGGTCCCGCGTCCCCCGCCTGCCTGCCTGGGGCTCTGACCTGTGTCCCCCGCTCTGCCCGCAGCCGCGTCATGACGTTCCGGGAGCACACGGCCTGGGTGGTGAAGGCCTGCCTGCAGAAGCGCCCCGAGGGCCACATCGTGAGCGTCAGGTAACGGCTGGGCAGCTGCGAGAGCGTTTCCCGCTGGGAAACGTCCTGGTGTCCCCCAGCCGCGGTGGGCCCCGCACGGGCAGGGCTGGCTCAGTCCTCCCGCTGGAGCGGCGAGAGCCTGCCGGGGGTGCAGAGAGCAGGTGGGAGGCTCGCCCCTCAGTGGGCACAGGGCCTCCGCGGCGCTGGCTGTGGGGTCCCTGCCTGAGCCACAGTCGTCCCCCCGTCCCTCCTGTGCTGAGAGCAGCGAACGTCCACTTGCCGTTAAAGGGACAACAGATGTCATTTACTGTCACGGTCGCCGTCTGCTCTGTGATAGTAAACACAGAGCGTGGCTCTTGGAATGA